TGTGACATCTCAAGGCCTGTCAATCCATGTCAGTGTGTGTGTGAGGCTGTGATTGCTGGTGAGTGTGATTCCATGAGGGCTGAGGGGTGGTGTGTGCCAAGGGCACTTGGAGCACATCCTCCTCAACTCTTCAGAGTTGGAGGATTTAAAAAATTATTAAATATTATATATGACATAATATAATTAACATACATGTGCAATAATGATAAAATAATCCCCATAGGTATCTACCACTCCGTTTAAGAAACAGAACATGACCAATATTTAGGAGCCCATGGTGCCCCTCCCCACATGAGCCCTTCTCCTCCATAATCATTATCCTGTATTTTCTGTTCATTGATCCTTTATTTTTGTTTGTACATTATGACATATACAATACCTTGTTTAGTTTTTCCCCATAGAAATGGAATCATATTGGTGTCTGGCCTCTGGTCGTCACTAGGGGTCACTAGGAAGTCATCAGGTGACTGTTAGTCGCAGGCAGTCTGCAGTGGAATTCTGCAACCTGCTTTTCTTTTCTTTTTCCTCTCTATGCTGGTTGTAAGATACCTCAACATTGAAAAGGTGTGTGGCTATAATTCATTTTATATTGCTGCACAATATTTTATCCTATGAGTATATCATTAGTATAGAGTATATCATGGTTTATGGATGCACCCTCAATATGTCGGTAGACATTTGGGTTGTTTCCAGGCTTTTCTTTCTCTTTTTATTTTCTTCCTCCACTTTTACACTATTACAAAGAGTGCTGCTTTACACAAATAGTGTAAATTTTAATGAACTTGTGTCCAGCACCATATGCACAAAAGCTACACTGGACAGTAACACCCCAGGAATGGGTCATAGGAGATGTGAATTTTTTTAGACATTGCTAAAATGTCCTTCAAATTTATTTTGCGATTGATTGCCAACCAGCAATGTGTAAGCATTTCCATTTTTTTCCATATCCATGTAAACATTGAGCATTATTAGTGTTTTTAATTTTTTAGCAATCTTTTGGCTACATTATGCATAGCATCTCACTGACATTTTAATTAGTATTTTCCCGATTACTAATGAGGTTCACTATGTATCATATATTTAGTAACTGCTTTTGTTTTCTTTTTGTGAAATATTTGATCATGAATTTTGCCTGTTTTATTGCTTTTTAGACATTCTTTGCGTATTGGATACTAATTCTTTATTGATGGTGTGTAATGCAGGCATCTTCCCTCACTCTGGTTTACTTTTCATACTTTTTATGGTGTCTTCAGACAAAAATAAATTCTTAATTTTAATGTCACTTTTTAAAAAACAATCCTCACCTGAGGATATAGTTTTATTGATTTTAGAGAGAGAGGAAGGGGGGGAGAGGGAGAGAGAGAGAGAGAGAGAGAGAGAGAGACATCAATGTGATAGAGAAACATTGATCGGTTGCCTCCCATATGTGCCCAGACTGGGGATTGAATCTGCAGCCCAGGTATGTGCCCTAACCTGGAATCGAATCCGCAACCTTTTGGTGTACGGACCATGCTCCAACCTACTGAGCAACACGGCCAGGGCTAATGTAGTTAAATTTATTTGTCTTTTCTTTTTCATTTTCTCAAATTTGGATCAGTTGTTCCTGCATGATTTATTGAAGGAGTTCAACTTGTCCCCATTGCTCTGCAGTGCCACATCCGTCATGTAGCAAGTGTCAGTATGTGTGGATATGTTTCTAACCTTTGTTCAATCCTGTTCTTTCCTGTGCTGTGTCTAATCTTCTGTTTAACTTGCCCTTTTAGTTTTTAATTGGATTTAAAATATATCTCTAAATATTTCTTTTTCAAATCTTCATTCATGGTCAGTTTTATGTCCTGGCTCATACTTTGGATACCCACTTTTATTTATTTAAACTTATTGAAATTGTTTCAAATTGAAACTGAGCTTCAAATTAGTTATTGGGTAATTTATTCTACAGATAGACTTGCATGCCAAATGATATATAACATCGTTATTCATTCTAACATTATTTATAAGATAGCAAAAGATTAGAAACATCTTAAATGTTCATCAGTTGAAGACTGGTTAAATAACTCTTGTACATCCACACAAAATGGATTCAATGCAGAAGAAAGACTAAAGAAAAAGAGAAAAAAAGAAAGTTGGCTTTTTAGGAACTGGTGTAGCTATAGATTCCAACAAGCAAGGTGCGAACAGTCTGGTACCTTTTAGGTAAAACAAGTGGACGATAGGCACCTATAAAATGCATATATATATATATATATATATATATATATATAGTATATGTATACACACAAACACACATATATGTATATATATGTATACATAGTCCTATTGCCCACAATATTACCATAGAAAAATTTATACTTGACATATCTACCACTGCCGCTGCTATAAAGAAACCTGATCTCCAGAAGCTCTGGGGCAAGTTCTGAGTCACGAGGAAATTGTGTGTGTGGTGGAGCTGGGCCGGGAGGGATGGGGATCTTTCGTGGTCTTAAGTGTGTCTGGAGATATTTGGGGGTCTCCAGTGGCCTTAAGGGTGCCTGGGTATATTTGAGGGGCCACAGTGCCTTTGGAGACCCCCGGGTTGGGGGAGTCCCTGGCCTGACTGGAGCTGTCTTCCCCTCACTTTGTCTTTCCACAGGAGCCCCGCAACCTGAGTGCAGCCTCGCCGCCCTTGGGCGAGGCTGGTGCTCCCCGCCGCTTTCGGCGGGCAGCGGCCAGGGGCGAGGCAGTGGAGGTTGTGCAGGAGCTGGCGCGGGCGCTGGCGCACCTGCTGGAGGCTGAAAGGCAGGAGCGGGCGCGGGCCGAGGCGCAGGAGGCCGAGGATCAGCAGGCACGAGTCCTGGCGCAGCTCTTGCGCGTCTGGGGCGCTCCTCGCACCACCGACCCGGCCCCGGGCCTGGAGGACGATCCTGACGCGCCTGCGGCGCAGTTGGCCCGCGCCCTGCTCCGTACCCGCCTGGATCCTGCGGCCCTCGCAGCGCAGCTAGTCCCTGCCCCTGCTCCCGCCACTGCACTCCGACCCAGACCCCCAATATATGACGATGGTCCAGTGGGCTCCGAGGCCGAGGACGCCGGTGAAGACACACCAGATGTGGACCCCGAATTGCTGAGGTAGTTGGCACGGGGTGGAATGGGCGGGCGCCTGCATGCCAGGGTGGAGGTGAGAACACCTCTGTTGTAAGGCAGTTAGGCCCCGGACCCAGGGTGTGGGTGTAGAGATGCCTGGGTGCTGGGATATTGGAGAAAGTGCACTCACGGGCCCAGGCATAGGGACTCCCAAGCCCGGTTTCTGGGCAGGACCGGGAGGCGGGGACATTTTCTCAAAGCCGTGGGCTAGGAAAGGCGGGTCCCCAGACAATATGGGGTTGTAGGGCCACCTGGGTCCTAGGCCCCGGGCGTTAACAGACCCATATATCCTCATTGCATCGGTTCTGCTCCCCTGTAGGTACTTGTTGGGGCGGATCCTCGCGGGAAGCGCGGATTCTGAGGCCGTGGTTGCCCAGCGTCGCCGCCTCCGCCGCGCCGCTGACCAGGATCTAGGCCCTGATATACCCCCTGAGGGTGTGCTGGGGGCCTTGCTGCGCGTAAAACGCCTGGAGACCCCCGCACCCCCAGCACGCCGCCTCCTGCCTCCCTGAGCACGTCCAGGATCCTGGGCGCCCTTGGGTCCAGAGCCGCCCCTTCCCCGACATCCCGGCTGCTCCTCGCCGGCATGGCTGTTCCCCGCGCCGGCGAGGGCCCATTGCTGCCCCTCTCCTGACACCCCTGCTGCTCTCGGCCGGCAAATCCCCATCAGCCTCGGTTGCTGCCCTCGGAACTCCCCAAGGTCCTCACCCCTGGCCCCACAATAAACACGTTCTGAAGCAGCTATGCACTTGACTGTGAGTGGCAGTTTCTATGGGGCCGGTGGGCTTGATGGTGATGGCAGTCCTTAAAACTAGGAAGAGTAGCCCCTGACCTCGGTCCAGCTCTTTAGAGACCACTCCGTAGTCTGTGCCTCAGTGGCAGTGCCCACCCAGGTCCTGTACCCCCACTTCTAGGCTTCACTCAGGTATGGGGAGCCCCATTCAAGGGCCTGCAGCAGCGTCTTCCAGGGTTCACCTTCCTGAGGACCAAGAGGTAGCTGTTAATGAAGTGTGAATAGAGCCTGCCACTTCCACCTGCACCAGAGCACCTTCTTATAGGGGGAGGGGCTACCAGGGTGAGAAAGGGAGTGGACTGCAAAGCCAGGTATCAGCCTTCCCAACCCACTCACATCCTGGCATGAAACCCTGAGTAACTCCAGGTTCAGAAATTAGAAACTCGGCCTCCAGGTCATTAAGAGAATAAAGTATTATTTGTCAAGGCAGGAGACTACACCATATCTTTCTTTACACTTGTTAGCGTGATTTGTACATTTAAATATTTATTTCTATTGTATAGAGGACACTCTATCTGTACTCCTACATAGTCCTGAAGATATTGGAAGTTGAAGTGTTGGTAGCTGGTTTGTGGTCAGTCTTTGCACTTGCTATTTGCAAGTTTTTGCTCAAATGCTGCCTACTCAATAAGGCTTCCCTTCACCCACCTTTAATACATAGTCTTATGTCCTATGTACAAGTGTAGGGATTTTCTTGTTTGTCTTGTGTGACCCTACATCCTTTGCACCCAAAGCAGGACCTGGCATATTACAGGCTTCCCCACATTTCTTGAATGAAAGAGTTCTCACAATTCAAGTAACATTCTCACCAGTTTCACACCCACCCACATAATGCTGGGCTCGGAGGCAGCTTTGAAACCTGAGAACATTTATTTTGTTTTGCACAAAATCTCTGAACCTGACAGAACATAATCAACAGTATGTTCCACATTAACAAAAAAGCCCATCACCGAATGAAAACCTCCCCAGAAGAGGGGTCCATCTATCCCAAGTACACCCAGTGTCTCACACAGCTAGTTGCTCAGGGTTGTCATATCAAGGAAGCATCACCCTGGCCTGGGGGATGGTCCACGTTTCTTTACCAAGACCTTCAGGCCACAGAGCAGCCACAGTGGCACATGGTCTTCTGGTGCCGGGACTTAGCCCCACCTGCAGCGGCTGCTGCCTCAGCCTCCCGGACCCTTTGGATCTCATGGATGAGCAGGGAAAAGGCCTCCTCTACACCTTGCCGTGTTTTAGCTGAGGTCTCCACGAAAGGGGCCCCCCAGCTCTTCGCGAGGGCTATAGCAGCAGCATGAGCATCTCCGTTGGTGGTCACAAGGTCGCACTTGTTGCCCACAAGGACGAGGGGCCGGGTATAGTGAGGGCCCCACGTGGCCCGCATCTGCTGCAGCTGGGTTAGAGATGAGGGGTCATCGAGGGCAAAGACACCCAGCACACCATCCCCAACAGCCAAGCACTGGTCACGCAGGGCCTTATGAGTGGCCTGGCCAGCCGTATCCAGCACATTCAGGATGCAGCCTCCTTGGTCCAGGGTCACCTCCTTCCAGTAGGAATCCTGGATCGTGGGGTCATGGTCTTCCACAAAGCACTCATGGTTCAGCTGGATGGTGAGCGCGCTCTTTCCCACACCACTTGCACCGACAACCACCGCCTTGTACTCTGGCAGCTGCTTGCCAACACCTCTGGAAGGTGCCTGGGCACTGTGGCTCTCCTCTTGGGCACTTGCATTCCATGTACCCAGGCCCAGATCAAACACATTTGACTTTTTTGGTGGTGCCATGCTCAAGGAAGAGATGTGGACAGCAGGCCCTGCCAAGTGGGAAGAGAAGAAAGACGATGGCCGGGGGAAGGGAGGCAGTAGGTTCAGCTAGGCGAGGGGACTGCGTGGGCAAGGGGGCAGCTGGTGGCATGGAGCCAACATCTCCTGAGTGACCAGTGTATGCTAATCGCCTTCTAATATGCTATATACGTTATTTGTGTTGTTAATTCTCTTTCCTTCTCTCATTCCCTTGTACGACATAAACTCTGTGAAGGCAGGAAGTTTAAAAACAGCTTTGATAACATACCATAAAGTTAACCTAGTTCAAGTGTACAATTCAATGACTTTTAGTATATTAACAGAGTTGTGCAACCACCACCATAATCTAATTTGAGTATATTTTCTTCACCTCAAAAAGGAACCCCCTACCCATTATCTCTCCCGCCCCATTCTGGAGGGATGGCACAGATTTTATCAGTAACCCCAGTCCAGTACAATGCCTACCATACAGTAAATGCTAAGCAAATTCCTGCCCCCAGGGAGTATATATTCTAAAAGGTGGGGACAATGAACCAAATAAATAAGCGAATTATGAGGTCTGTGAGCCATTATCTAAAAGTCAATCTTTATTACTTATTCAACATACTGCTGCAGGGAACCTACTGTGTGGCAAGGTGGGTGAAAATAGAAAACCCTGGCTCTCAAGAATGTGCCGATGCAGTCAGGAAGACTGACAACAAAGATATTTCAGCAACAGGTGATAAGCATGCAGAAGATGCTTGGTTAATGTTAGCATTTTCATTATGATTTAATTTTCATTCATTACTTCAAGAAGCTTCCGGTATGCCAGGCATTGTGATGGTTGTGGGAATAGGGGGTTGGGAGGGGTGGGGGTGGGGATGTGGCAGTAAACAAAATAAAGTCCCTGCCCTTGGGAGAATTAGATTCTACAAGTGAGAAAGAGACAATAAACAAGATAAGCAAGTAAATCACCAAGCAATTAGAAGAGGATGGGCACACAGCAGGCGCTCAATGAGTGTTAAGCTATTAATAGCAAGTCACCATTAACTCATTCAATACACATCTTGATCTTACTTCAGTGTGTGGCCTCAGGAAATGCATCTTAATGGCTGCTACCAGTCTCCCTGGAAACCTGGGGGCAATGGCAGTTTGGGGGTAGATGGTGGGGGTTCAGGTGTCCCTGTGGATTTCTGTTGAGTTTGGGACCTGGAGGTCAGAATGGAGGGGGACAAGGTCCAGTTGTGAGGTCCTCAGCCCAGAGAGATTCCTGAAAACAGTTATTGGACGTGCTTGTTTAGAAAGAAGGGGGCCATGATAAGGAAAGAGGTAAAAAGGACAGAGTTCTGGGGGCCCCCAATATTGAGAAGACAGAAAGAGAGAGATCTAGCTATGGGAACAAACTGAGAGGAGGGGGGTGAGGGCGGAAGCAGTGAGGAGACCGCTGCAGTAGTTAAGGCGAGCTACAGCGGTGGATGTGGAAAGGGTAGGTCAGATTCTGGAATATCCTGAAGGTAGAATTAGCTGGCAGGATTTACTGAGAGTTTAAGAGGTAGGAGAGGAGGTCAAGGATGACTCCAGTTTGGGTCTGGGCAGATGGAAATCTGAGGGTGCCATTATCTGAGGGTGGGGACTTGTAAGATGGGCTCTTCCCTCTTGGCAAACCGCTGTACCTGTGACTACGATCCTAAAAGCACTAGGTATTATTTACAGAGAACTTAGCTCATGCCAGGTGACTCTCCTGCCATGCTCACACTCAGTCCCCCTAACACTCTGGTGGACTGAGTATGGACTATCATCACCACAGCCACTCTATCAATGAGGAACAGCTAGCAAGATTCAGAGAACTGAGGGGACGGCCACTGGCCTGAGGTCCGGCAGTCCATGAGAGACCAACAGGAGAGAGGTCTCACCCGTCGCAAGTAACATAGAACCACTCGTTGTGCCAAGTGCTACCGGAGTGTCATTAAGAGGTCCTTAGGACCCCGAGACGCCCCTCTTTACCTCAAGCCACTGCATGCCATCCCCATCCCAATCCCTGCTGCTTGGACCACATCCATTGTGTGTCCTTTGTGTTAGCGTAACTACCTGAGGGGGCAGGGGGAGCGGTTGGAGGTGGCACAGCTTCAGGGAGAGTGGAGAGACCAGCCTAATGTGAACCTTCACAACCCCCCTTTCAGGGCTAGCCCAGGACGACCTCAACTACGTTTCCCGCAACTAAGTCAGGTGCTGTGGAAAGGTTGGGGCAGGGAGGAGCGACCCCCAAATCTCACCCTAAAACCCTTACCCTATGGTCAGTCTGAACCATTTCGGCCAGTTTTTCTTTAGCGGGGACTGTGTAAGGGCGTGGGAAGGGACCCCCGACCAGAAGGCTGGGTCCGCGCGTCCGCAGTCCCGCTTCCGGCCCAGCACGGCCCCTGGCCCAGCTCGGTCTCCACAAAGCCGGCAACCGAAGGGGCCGGCATGTGGTGGCTGGCCCCCCAAAGAAAAGTGGCAAAAGGAGAAAGGTACCCGCAAACCCCACCATGGTCGTGCCCTTATAGCCCCAGGTGGAGAGCCCTCCCAGGCCAGGGCTGGTCTGAGGGCCCCTCCGTCTGGCTCACCTCAGCCGCGGGAGAGAAGGTTGCGCTGAGACCCGAACTCACCGAAGTTCTGACAGGGCCGACAGGGGGAGAGGTGCACCAGCCCCAGAGGAGGGGGCGGGGGCTAGGGCGGGGGTACGCATGCGCTAGTGGTCGCCCTAAGGCCCCTCCACTGGCACACCTCCTCCCCTCGTCCCCCACCCCCTCCCGTCCCACGGTGAGCGCGGGTCTCATCCCTGCCTGCTGGTGGCGCCAAGGAAGTCTGACTGGGGCGCTGATTGCGGCCAGACCTCTCGGCAAGCCTTTTGTATCCTGCGGCACCTTGCCCTTACCTTGCCCCAACCAGGTCTGTGGTTTTGGGTTTTTTAGTGTGTGTGGGGTGTCGTACTTTTGACCTCAGTGGCCAGACTTTGGGAAATGTTTTGAAAGGGCCTCTTTGAAGCCATGAAGTCAATGCTGCCTCAAGCAGGCTTTTTGGTAGCTCGGGAGAGGGTTGTGTCTGTTCCTGCAGGGAAAGCAGTGCCAGAGAAGAGGGTTTTGTCTGTACTGGAGGGAAAGAGGTGCCAGAGAGCGTTGTGTCGGTTCCTGGAGGGAAAGAGTAGCAGAGGAGTGGTTATCTTGTCAGGGCAAAAGGAACCTGTTCCGACGTGGACATGTGTCAAGGCTAAAACATTTCTCAGACTCCCTTGCAGCTATGACAATCATGTGACAGTGCTGACCAATGAGATGTAAGCAGGGATGGGGCACCCAGAATGCTCCTGGAAAGAAGGATGGACTGGGACTGAGCTGGCCACAGCTCCCTTACCCTTCTTGACTGGGTGGGGCTCTGGTGGTCATCTTGGGATCATAATGTGGCCATGAAGAAAAGTCCAGGGAACCTCAGCCCTGGACTCCTTTGAGTTGCCTAATTAATTCTCAGAAATAAATTAGTAAGTAAATTGATTCTAAGAAAACCCCCACATTATCATAAATAAATAAATTAGTAAATAAATTAATCCTAAGAAATAAAACCCGCAAGTTATCCTCTCCAATTCTCCACCCCTGGTCCATAATAAGCACTCCTTCCCCCAAGAAGCTACCCCTGCCTGCCAAATTTAAGTATATTAAACCTGGACACCCGCCTCCTCCAAATCAGGACAAAAAGACAGATGGGGAGACTGACACCTAGTAAGGACACTTCCTAATAGTCCTCTTGCCTTCTCAGCCCAGGACTGGCTGTGAGGTTCCTATTTCGAAGGCACTAATTTTTTCACAGATTCCACCATTTAATCCATACTGCAACCAGTCAAGCTGTTTCCTCTATTTCCAGTCAGATTTTTGGGTACTGGCTGGGCAGGTGACTGACCTGACAAAGACCCATGCCCTCACTTCTTCTATACTCACTGGCCCTGTCGATCAGGAGTGCGGGGTTCTCCACCTACTTAAGATTAAAAAGGCTTTATCCAACTTTTGTTAACAGTTTGTACTTTATTACATATGCAACCCCACCCCACCTTTCAGTTGGCGCCCCCTCCCTCCAAAGTATCGTCTTCTTGATATGACTTCCCTCTTGGGGCCACTGAGCTATCCTCCTTTCTTTTGGGGCACAGGAGATGGATTCCCTCAAGCAAGCAGTGGGCAGGGGGAGAGCTACAATTCATCATCATAGTCCTCTTACAGGTATTTAAACTTAAATCAGCACCCTTGGGGGAGTTGTAAAAAGAGTCTTCAGGAGGGATGGAGTGAAGCTGCCCCTCATCCAAGGAACAGGTTGGAATGAACTAAGGCTGGTCTATCTTGGGCCTTAGAAGGTGAAGAGGAGCATGTTCTAGGAGTTAGTGTGAGTAGGGCATGTCTTCCCCAAACTTGTTCTGGTGGGCGATGTTCTTCACATCTAGGAGAGCCTGAGGAGGAGGAAAGACAGGGTAGGTAAGAGATAGGACCCCCTCTACTTCAGCCAGGAGCCTGCCCCCACTCCATCCTTCAACCACCCTGTCTCTTGGACTATCCCTCATGCAGTAGGGTCTTCATTCTCCCCTATCAAGTCACAGAAGGTATGTGTGTGAGGGGAGTCAGTGTGTACACATTAGAGGGTCTGCCCAGCACCTACCTGATGGTGAACATAGGCCTGACATTGGTAACACCAGGTAGACAGGTCAACGTAGCTGAGGACCAGTGGATGTCCTGAGTCTTCGTGGTGCTGGAGCATATGGGCATTGATGTAACGACTGCAGTAGACCTGAGGTTAGGGAAGGAATGTTAGGCAGGGATCAGCAACCACCTGTGGTTTGTTCCTGGGCCAACCTCAGCCCCATCCCCTTCCTCTGTTGCATACCTCGTAGCAAGACAGACATGCCCAGTTCTCCTGAAGTGCTCCACACTCCTGACAAGGTTGGGTCACATCCAGGCCTCCTTCAGGAATGGGGCATACTGCCACCAAAT